TGTTATGCAACTGAAAATCCCAACTGCCTTGTGGGGGGGGGGGGGGTTTGAGGTGTGGAATGGAGGGAAGTCCAATCAGCTTCCATATGCAAATGACCTTGGAACGCTGGGCAGGACTGCACAAAGCAGCCAGTCAACCCAGCCAGTGTCTTCTGAGTGGCAGTTCTTCCGGCCTAACACTAAAGGGGCCAAATTTAGAACGTTGGTGACCACTATTCAATTATTATAAGGGAGAGATGGGGCACATTGACTATGGGGCACATGTGAAAAGGATCTAAGTGTTCTGGTTGATCACAAGCTAAACATGAGCCTGCAGTGCGATGTGGCTGCAAAGAAAGCAAATGCGTTCTTAGGATGTACTGACAGAAGCATTGTGTCCAAATCACGGGAGGTGGTCGTTCCGCTCTATTCTGCTGTGGTCAGGCCTCACCTGGAGTACTGTGTCCAGTCTTGGGCACCACGTTTTAGGAAAGATGTTGACCAGCTTGAGCGTGTCCAGAAGAGGGCAACCAGGATGGCGAGAGGGTTGGAATCCAAGTCTTACGAGGACAGGCTGAAAGAGTTGGGTCTGTTTACATGCAAGACTAATCTAATGGGTGGAAATTACAAGGGAGTCGTTACCGGCTAAATCTCAGGAGAAACTTCCTAACCGTAAGAGTGGTTGAGCAGTGGAACAGACTGCCTCGGGAGGTGGTGGAGACTCCTTCACTGGAGATTTTCAAGCGGAGGCTGGATGACCATCTTTTGGGTATATTGTAGGTATGTAGGGCTATCTTTCAGCTATGCTCCTGCAGCGTGCAGGGGGTTGGACTAGATGACCTGCAAGGTCCCTTCCAACTCTAACATTCTGATTCTATGACTATAATGGTCCTCATAGGTTACAGTGGAGCAGGAAAAAATTGGGGTGATGTTGTTTTTTTGCACACCCCTATTATGCCTTTCAGTATGATTTCTAAGCTCCCCTGAATCATAGGAAAAGTGGGATATAAATATTTGAATAAAAAAGTAGTCTGGGCAGGTTGATACCACTTAAGCAATTTCCTGTTTGTCAGGTTAGGCAGGGTTCTGACAGTGATTGTTCCACCGCTGTTATACTTGACCTGTACATTTGTCATATTTCACTAAAAAACCCCACAAAGTAGACTGCAAGAGGTCCCCCCCCCCCCAAGCTGTGCTTGTATGTTTTCTAAGGCTTAGTGCAGGGTGATGGTCCGACGCCAGGTCTACCAATATAGTGGACTGGGGCAAGTAGACCCATTCTCTGGAGGCCAGGTCTACCAATATAGTGGAAAGGGATGAGTAGACCTATTCTCCAGAGGCCAGGTCTACCAATATAGTGGAAAGAGGTGAGTAACCTATTCTCCAGAGGCCAGGTCTACCAATATAGTGGAAAGAGGTGAGTAGATGTGTTCTCCAGAGGCCAGGTCTACCAATATAGTGGACTGGGGCAGGTAGACCCATTCTCTGGAGGCCAGGTCTACCAATATAGTGCAAAGGGAAGGGTAGACCTGTTCTCCGGAGGGCAAGTCTACCAATATAGTGGAAAGGGGTGGGTAGACCTGTTCTTCAGAGGCCTGGTGTACCCCCATAGAGGTCAACATTTTCTGTAACGGAATTTGACTCTATTTCCTGTTATAATGTTTCTATTTCTATTTCTATTTCCTGTTATAATGTTTAAATCATTCTTAAA